CGTCAAATTCATCTTCAATAAGATCAAAATTATCCTTTTTAAATAAAAAAAGAAAATGGTTTTTGATGAAAATATGGAAATGTCGTATATGAGGGTATGTTCTTTTACATTTACTTGACAAGTAAACGGCTACTTGGCATTGCATCCGATGATTAATTTACTGAGCAAATAAAGTGGTGATTAACCCTACTCAGAGATTGTGAAACAGGCCCTAAGTTCCCAAAATTATTCTCTCAGATTCCAATAGAAATTTTATGAAGAGTGCATAAGAAATGTTTGAAATAGACTTCGAATTTGTTGAATTCAAAGATTTATAGTAATAAAATTTTCAGTAAAATGAAAATTCTTCAGGTAATGATTCATTGTTGAATAGTAGAACTAGTTTCTGCATGCATTATGACCTCATTTAGTTAATAGGCAATATGCATGGAATTCAAATTCAAAGATTTATAGTAATAAAATTTTCAGTAAAATGAAAATTCTTCATGTAATGATTCATTGTTGAATAGTAGAACTAGTTTCTGCATGCATTATGACCTCATTTAGTTAATAGGCAATATGCATGGAATTCAAATAAGTCTTATTTTATTCTTATATAAACTCTATTACTTTAAATTGTCCGTCCATCAATATTTGTTAATAACATTTTATTTTCGAGCAAGAAATTAATGATATAAGAATGCTTAAAAACTTCAAATTATTTGAAACACGACGAGAGCGGTTGTGACGTATAAACATATCTAACAACAAACAAACATGATGTTCACAGGATATGCCAATCTATGATTATACTGAGAGTGCGTAGATGTCAAAGCCGCGTTCTACCTAGATAACGAGAGCAACTTTTTACTACGACATTTATTTTTTTACCAAAAATGTATATAATGTCTATTTGATTGACTTAAGTAGGTTCCAATTTCCATCCGCAGTGAAGGTATGGAACGCAAAATGTCAGTATCTTGTAAGGTCATTGATCTTGTTTGATGGTTTAAAGAATCGTGAAGTTATATCCAAGCGTTCCAAAATAGTGCGCGTTTAAAGTGCCCGTGAATCTTTGCTATTTTAAATTTTTTTTTCAGACTCATTTATACTATTTTTATTTTTTTTATACTGTGTAAAGGTGATGTAAACTACTTAATAAAAATATAAAAAAAACATGCATATTCCCTATTACAAATACATATAAAAAAATCTAAAAGACATTATGTTAACTGCTATTTCAACAAACTGTCTAAACCGACTTAATATATCATAAATAAATGGGATTGATTTTACAACTACTATTAGTGGAATAAAATGCATTTGCTTAAAAACCATGATAATGGAAATCCGTAGACTTAAAATATTATTACAATCTACGGTGTTATAAAATTTATGAACTATGTCAGGTAATGTTTTATTGATTTAGCGAAATATGATTTAACAAAATGAATGGCTGATGTAAAATTGGTCAATCGCCAGTCTTAACCTTCCCTGGTAATAAATAGGTTAACCAGAGATTAGTTGCACAGATATTTCTATTAAATTAAACTATAATAACTACTATGTATCTGTTACTCAGGATAGGATATTAGCAACGGCCAAGTTAAGGCAGGCAATGAATTAGAAATGATATGGAAGCATGACCCTTGTAACAAACGCAGCTAAAACACGGTTCCTAACTCACACAATTAAACTTCAATACTAAAGCGACACGCACACAGACAAAACAAAATACTCTGAATCGAATCAAATCTCTGCCAATATATTCCGCTTCCCATTCACTAGGAAATCCCAACCAAGCGAGTGCATACGAGACAGACTACTTCGCGCGACGAGGATAATTATGACTTTTTGTAGAGAAAATACGAAATTGCATTTATTTTCTGCGATCAGTTATACTTGTTTCCTTTTTACTTCTTTCTTTCGGTCTTTTACACCACTGAATCTCAGATGAGGTGATTGTTGTCCTTAAAAACGTGTTTTTCTTGGACTTTACTCATAAATGACGAGAGCTTCTGTCACTGAGCGTGGCGACGGACTGATCGTACTTTTTTCGCCCCACACAATTGTTCGCAGTTTGCGTGGAACCACTTATAGCGCAGTTCGTGTTCTATATCATTTCTAATTCTAAGGCTATATATTTTCGCGATGTTTTATCAAAGGTTTTTAAAGTTACATTATTATAAATTGTCATATAATTCCTTAGCGACACAGACCACATAGCCCAAACATATTCTGCATATATAAGCTTCAGTCTCTGAATCCAATAATGGTGCAGAAGTTCGCTCACGGAATAGATAAAAAAAGGAGCGAGCCTTACAGTAGTCGCATAAGATGTGTAACATTTGACATCTCTCCTTAGTAATAAGCAAAATTAAGATTGCATATAAATTGTAAAATCAAATAGCAATGCCCCGGCTTCCTGTTACACACTACAGTCCCATTTCACGAAATCACTCCCACAAATTGCAAGAAAGCGAGAGGAAAGATGTTACACATCAAAAAAGGGTTGAGAAAGCCTTGAGGTCGTGATCACAAAAAAGTAGCGCTTAATATGAAGAGCTCAAATCAAAACGACATAGACAAAAGATTAACAATTATTTCTGTGTGTGTTTTACTGTAAGTAAGCGCGGCAGTGGAAGTATAGCGGTGTCACTGTTTGGTCTGCAAAATATGTTTGATGGTCTATCCATTTACATGAAACTTTTTATCTATTCCATGGGAGCTAACCCACAATGGCAGGCCACAAGAAGGGTGGCCAAAAATTTATTATCTTAAACTTTTCCGCGTTTTGGTAGGCACATAGAGCATTCGTTAGCGCCCACTATTAACACACTGGGTCCTCGTGGTGGGTGAAGGCCTGTTTCCTATTCCATCCTGAGCCCCTGCAGTGGAGACATTAGACTAAGGGTAGCTACGCAAATAATGGGGCCGGCATATTCGGTTCGGCATTATTTGTCGAACAACAAAGCCAACCCTAAGTAAAATATTCATCTACACATATTAGATTTTACCACCCGGCTGTGCCGGTTAATGCCGACCCGCTTATGTGTGTAGCTAACCTAATAGTAGGTGAGCCCAGGGATGGTTTTTGAGAACCAAGCGCGGCAGAATAACATAAGTGGGACAACCTTACACCATGGGAAGTACTGCTACCATACATTAACCCTTCATAAAGGATCGAACGTCTAGGGGCTGAAAAAAATTTTTCATAAATCAGCCATGACTTTTGGTCACCTCTAAATCGCCTGTATTTTAAACAGGAGTTACTGAAGGGTTTACGTAACGTTTCTGACGCTGGAAAAATAGTAATCTGCCGGTTTGCATAGTGTGGCCGTACGAAGAGGTAGAAAATAGCAAAAAACAATTCGAGCGCATCAGCCATTGTGAAGGGATGTCACGTGGAAACATCTCGTAGCCCCTCTGCAAAAGACTGACCAATTTGGACGAGACCAAAAGTCATGGCCGAATGTTGATTTCTATTTTTTCTGCCCTGGACGGTTGACCCTATAAAAAGGACACGGGATTGGTGGGATTACTTCACAAGGTGCAAGATTACCCCCTTATGTTATTCTGTCGCGCTCGAGTAAATCCCAGAATCCCCGCTTGGGCTCTCCTACTATGATGAATAATTATATACCCCTATTTCCAATAAATAATTATAATGAAGTGAAAAGATGGCCAGTGAAGTATTTTACGATATCAGGAATGTGAATTTTAGTGACAGTAATGTGATATATTGTACAAAAGAAATTACTTTAGTCCTAAGTAGTCATTCTGCGTTAACCCAATACTTTTTTGATAAACTATGTTTTAACTTGACTTTGCGATTCTATTCAATATTTTCGATTTAATATCAATTGACATTTGAACACTAATTTTTGTTTACAATCCATTTTAAAACACTTATTTTAATGTAAAACAAAATGTGATTTTGTCCTTTTAATCACGTAATTTCGAACTCCCCTAAATAAGTTGTCATAGAGGCTTTATGTGGTCTATGCTTAGAGTAGAAATTTGTCTAATACATTTAAGAATTGATAAAATGACTATAGAAAATTATCAGTTGTAAGTTAAAACGGCGCATAAGATTCTAGTACTTAAAAAACCTTTTTGCATCCTGCCACTTCCATACGCAAAATTGCAGCATTTTTACAAAAAAATCCAATGGAATAACATCAGGTGAATAACACCATATAAGAAATGGTAGGTACATACACCCAAATCTACATTACACATCATAAAAGTTTATTAACAACAAAAGTTCAATCCAAAACACTGATAAATAGTTCCATCAGTCTATAATTCTTTCTTTACAATAACAATTGATTACTATGTATGTTTTATGATTTGTCAATGATTAGAATGTACATCAACTTAAATAAATAATAGTAAAATATTTTAGTGATCATCGTTAATGCAATATAATGGAAGCACAGCTTCATTTAGAATAAATTATTGCGTATATAAGTTAGGAAACTTTTTACACTAAATACTGATATATAAAATATTAATAAATGACATACAAAGTGAACAGTCAATCACAACCAGCTACAAAATTCACATAGTTTGTTCAAGTTAGTTTGAAACAACCAGGTGGTCACAGTGAAAGTTCCCGGGGACATTGATCATACTGTAGTGTGATGTATGTTGTGATTAGTCAAGATCTCAGAAATAATATCTCAGTACATGCCTAATTCATGACAAAATAATGAGATTCCACATGAGGCACAAAGTAAAATTAAAACAATAACAAAAATATAATATTGCTTATACTATTATTAAGATTTACTTGTGCACTACTCAAATGCACAACATTTTAAAATATACTTAGAGTAACTTTAAGTTAATCATTGAGCTTTCCATTTATACAAATAAATAATATATTAGTCTAATTTATGACGACGAAGTTACTTTAGAAATATACACACTATTTCATTATTCGAATTAGTACTACTGTACAGGAGATTTGACGCACTCACGATTGACAGTGTCTAGCAGCGGATGCGCGGTTTGTATCACCTCACCTCGCAGTGTTTGTTGACGGCGAGCGGCAGCGGCGAGGCGGGCGGCGGCGGCTCCGGCGTGCCGCCCTGCCCGCCCTGCGCGCCCGCCTCCTTCATCACGTATCCGGAGCCCTGCGAGCTGCGCGCCAGTTTTAACCGGATCGGGGTCACTTTAGCTGTCCGTATCTTGCGCATGGCCGACGACTCCGAGTAGGAGGGCGGGTCGATGGCGAGCGGGTCGGGCGCGGTGGGGTCGTACTCGAACGGGTCTACGGTGGGCTCGGGCGCGGCCGCAGCTGCCGCCACGCAGCCGCTGGGCCCCCGCCCCACCGCCGCCGCCGACCCCGCCTTGGCGCCCACGACGTTTCCCCCGCGAGGCTCCGGCGTGCCACTCTCGCCAGCGCTCGCCCCCTCCCCGCCCTCCTCCTTCGTACGCTTTATTTTTATTATAAGTTTCGTAGCACTCTCACTTTCACTATTGACCACTTGCAACTTTTCTGCCTTCTTGTCCTTCTTCTTTTTACGTTTCTCACTTTTACTGGGCTTGTGTTTCTTCGGCTTCTCGGTTTCTTCGAAGTCCGCCATCACCTTACGCCTGTATTTCATACTCTCGCGTCTGAGGTCTTCCAAGCTCGGTTTCGGCATGCTCGTCAGCCGCTTTTTGGGCGGCCGGAACTGGAAGCCCGATGGCTCATCATTGACTTGCTGAACGATGTTCGAGCCAATCTTTATTTTCAGTTTAGGAGCCAGCGGCGATGTAGTATTCGGTCTGTTCGGTTTTGTGGAGACTCGACCTCGTCTCTTGAACGACTGGTTGACATTACTAGCGAAGTTAGATAACTTGACATCGTCCGATGGATCTGCATCATCGTTCATGCTCACTTCTAGATGTCTTAGTTCTCTAGAGAGACCACTGGCAGTCTTACGCTTTTTCTTGTCAACTGGCGCATCACAGAATTTATAGTCTTCTCTCGTCGGTATGCTGGTCATCGAAGCCACAGCTTTTGGAATGGTAATGACGGCACGAGGCAAAGGCTGAGGCGCGGCTGGCGGAGGTATAACTCCGATATTCGAAGCATTAGCCGGATCGTCCATGTTCATATCCTGGGTCCAATACTGACGCAACAACTCCTTTTTGCGCATTCGTCGTAAGTTCGTGGATCCAGTCATCATCGACGAAGCTGCACCGCCGGACGCGCTAAACATGCTAGTGTTGGATTCATGCACAGGAGCCGGTGGTTGTGGTACGACTGGCTGAACAGAACTAGCTGAATAGTTTGCATCTAAGAATGGACCCTTTATTTTTACTTTCAATTGGTTTCGCGAGTCTGATAATGATACTTTAGGTAATTGAGGATTGAATGTTTCTTTAGGAGGTTCTTTGGGCTCTACAACAGGCGCAGGAGGAGGAGAACCCGAGCGGGGTTTGCTGGCCATCAAAGCACTATGTAACTGTTTCTCGACTTCTTCATCAATGTCTACAAGTTGTTGATCAGCTGTGCCACTAGCGAACTCTAATAAGTGGCTGTGGTAAGCCTCACCAGCTACGGGAACAGGATTTTCGAAGGGCTGGTATGTACGCATGTCGACTGGTCCTGGGAGCACTGGTTGAACACTTGAAAAGCCAGGGCCTTTACCAGTAGGTGATGCAGTTCTATCTGAGGGCATAGGAGATGGTTTCACGTCCTTTTCAATGGTCGGTGTGCGTTTGCTTGTCTGTGGAGGACTAACGACACGTGGCGACGGGGATGCATCTTTATAAGAATGTTCAGATTTTCGATCATCTCGTAAATCGACAGATTTTCGCCTTTCCCGAAGAGCTTTCAGGTCAACACCATCGGCAATCTCTTCGTCAAAATCATATACTGTACCGACAAGTTTATTCTGAATAGAATTGCCCATGTAATCCACTGGAAATCCGTGAATACCTTGACCTCTACTCTTAGAACGACCACGTCCTCTTTGACTTCTATTGTTTCTATTGTTCGGTCGTTTGGTGTTTTTCGGTGCGTCGCTTTGTTTAGGAGATGAAGACACTCCAGGGCTTTTGCCAGGGGATTTACCGGGAAACTTGGGTGCTAATTTTGGTAGTTTCGGAGGTGACTTCTCTTCTTGAGGAATGACGCTTGACATAGTTTCATTGCTGTCGTTGGACATTTTAGTCGCCGCTCTTGTGCTATTAGAATCATTATATGAATCAACACTGATGCTCGGACTGGACACCACGTGAATATATTTTTCACTACAAGATACGTCAATGTCATCACGAGGTGAATCAGTGGGTTTTGGTGTAGGTGGAGCAATCATGGCGGCAGTGATCGCCAAATTTTGCGACGAAGTTGTAAATGCAGCACATAATGGGAAAGCTTTGGGTGGAATAAGAGAGGTAGTTGTGAAAGGCAAACCGAAAGGTGCTGGAGATGGTAATTGTAATTGCGTAAAAGGCAATGAACTCAAAAATGGAGATGCGTTCTGCGGATAAGCGCTGTATTGATTCAAAGGGATAGTTGGCTCTACGGCACAAGGATAAGCCGGCAATGGTGGATAGGAGTCGATGTCCGGCATCACGTTACTTTGATGTGAATCACAACTATTCATATGAGATTTCAAGTCAGTCTTCTGGGAGCACACAGAACCTTCCGAATTTGTACTCGAGGCCGATGATCTCCTTGTGGTTATTTTACTTTCTCTCCATTTGGAATCTCGACTAACATAAGGTGATGAAATCGTAGCACAATCTGAGTGTATCACAGAGTTATTATTTTCGTAATTTTGATTATCTTGTGTTAACTCCTGATCGTTGCTTGTAATTGAATGATCTACAACAGATAACGGCTGGGAGTCGTCACTTTGTTTCGACAATGATATTGAGTCACCAACTTCAGACATGGACTGAACATCTGACTGCACAGTGACAGGTTCTTTGACATCATCATTGTATTGCATGTGATCGTATTTCCTTTCGTCAGGTTGCTCAATATGAGAATCCATTTGAGATCCTGACTTATTATTTGTCCATTGTTCATTACTAGTCATGGGAATGGGTTGATGATGGTATTCCTTATTTTCTATTAGGGATTCTCTTGATGATATTTCAGGTGGTGGATAAGTATGTGGTATGTGATTTACGGTCATGTGAGTATCTTTCGGCGAAATTCTCTTATCATGCAAATCTAGTGCGACTTCCTTGTTTGGAGAAATATCAGGGTCATGATCACTTTCAACAGACTTAGATACTTTGTTATCATCATCTTCTCCTTGATTATTTTCATCATTTTGCATTGATTCGTCTTGAGCAGAATTCTCAGTTGGCACCTTCTTGGAATTAAGTTGAAGACGTAATCTATCGACTAAATTGAGTGTTTCTTGGACACCCTGTTCTTTAGAGTCTTCTTTGAAGAAAAAGTCAGGGCAAGATGTAAATGGTTTCATAATATCGTCATGGTTGAATCCATCATCAACAGCTAACATATCAATATCGAAAATTTCGCTATCTTTCGATTGAGGTGAAAAGATTGACCGATTAGGGTATGGATTAACTGCAGAAGGTATTTTAGCACTCTTTGATATTTCAACTCCTTGCCCAACATGACTGGCATCTTGAGTAATATATTTCTTGTCTGCGTCTAATATCGAACGTTTTCTGATATTTCTAGCAATCGGATTATCCATGTCAATATTATCCAATGAAATAGTTCTTGCATCCATTGGAGTTTTGGGCGATTTAATCATCGTGTTTTCATTAAGATTTGCTTGTATCTTAGCAATCATTTTGATACTGCTCTTGTCAGTGGAATCTGAATCCATTGATTTATCTTCAGTCATATACTTTTCAGGCCCTCCTGGTTTTTCTACAGGTGGAGGATTAACATTAGGACTTGGAGCTTTAGGTAACCAATGTTTATCGTTATCTTGGTATTCATCATGAATTGGTAGGGGGCTCTTTCTATCGACTTCTTCAGGAGGCTTTTCAGAGTAAGTCGGTTTTTTGACGGGAGATAGACTATTATTTCTTTCAGGCCTTGAAGTATTCAAAGGTTCGTGTCTGCTTTGCCTCCTCTCCTTAGTGATAGGCTGACACGTAACATCTGTAAATGGTATAGATTCTTTAGGTGGATCTTTAACACTCATTCGCCTGTTTGTTATACTTTTTTGTTTTGGCTCTGTGCTTTTCTTCGGGCTAGTTTTTGGTGGAGGTTCTTCAGGTGTTTTTGATGTATCGTCATGATAAATACTTTGCCTTCGAGTGGATCTACTAGACTTTGGTTTATTATCACCTCTAAGAAGGAGTTCAGGAGTGTAAGATTCCTCTTCCTCTTCTTTCTTTACCTCCTTGTCCGCTTGCCGCTCCGAAGATGGAAGTTCACGGGGCTGGCTGCTCTCTTTGGGAGTTTTAATCGGCACAGGGGTATAACTGGTCTCGTCTTTAGGTGATTTTCTTGATCCGGTGTCAAACTTATTAGGCATATTTCCGCCTGTAGCAATGCTTCTGGTCCTAGCACGCGTGGCAGCACGCGCGTTGCCGGATCGACTTGGTTCCTCTCCTTCAAGAGGCGGTGTTGATATCCCGCACTCAGGCCCCCGTTCGGAAGTTTTAAGCTTCTTGTCAGGGGCCTTACGTGGGGATGTTTCAGTTGAAGTACTTTTGGCTTTGCGTCGCCTACGCGGTCGTTTTGGAGAAGGACTGTCTGATCCGGAAGCTCTCGAATCTTTAGAGCTGTCACCATCACTCGAGGCACTAGTCGATGACAAAGGTCTTGACACCCTGTCGAGAAAGGGCAAGTCCACAGTCGGTCTAGTGCCAGGAGGAGAAAACATTGATGGCTGCCTTGTTGTAGCTGGTTTTATTTCTCTTGCTTTGGCAGTTGGTTTAATATCAGGTTTCTCTGTTTCTTCCTCTGAACTTGATGAAGATGAACAACTGCTGCTACTAGATGAAGACGAACTCGAACTTTCTTTAGAACTTTCTTTTGAAGGCTTCTTGATTTCGTCTTTTTTAGGCGACATCTTTTTATCACTTTCAGAAGTTTCCACAACGGGTAACTTACTGCCAAGGCCACTTTTTATGTGAGCCGCAGCCTTTTTAGCTGCCTGCCTTTGAGGGACATAAGCAATTGTTTCTTTTTCAGCATCCTTAGATGACTTCTTTCGACCCACTTTAGCAGGTGATGGTGTAGTGCTTTCTTTTTCTTTTACCTCCTTCCCTTTACTTTTTATTTTAGGTTTAGTTTTTGGATCTTCGGGAGAAGCCTGTTTCTCCATAGTGATCTCCTCTTTTTTAACAGTTGTTGTAGACCTCATATTTTCAGAGGCTTTCTTAGCAGCCTGCCGTTGAGGGACTATCAAATCAGTTGGATTATCTTTTTGTTTAGCAAACTTAATATTTTCTTTGTTCTTTGCCTCATCATCAGATTCCCCATTTTTTAAAGTAGGCTTTTTATCTTTGTTAGAAGGCTTTCTTCCACGTTTTCTAGGAGCAGGTTTATCTTCTTCTTTTACTACAGCCTTTTTCTCTGTATGAGCAGGAACAAATTCTTTCATTGCAGCTTTAGTTCTGGGTAGTGGTTGTTGTGAATCAATGCCATTTGGTGACTTATCTGGCTTTGTCTTCTCCGATTTAACTTTTTCAGATTTCACTTTAGTCTTGGCAGATTTAATATCCGATTTTAATGTAGTCATGTCTTCACTGCTGTCCGAGTAGATGTCGACTGGGAATTTACTGTTTTTTGTTGATCTTATTGGCATGAGTTCATCACTGTCAGTTCCTGACTGACCTAAAGAACCAGCAGCCATTTCCTTTTCCATTTGTTGAAGTGTTTTACTACGAGATCTGTCTTTTTTGGTTTTAGAACTTACAGTTTCATCTTCGCTGCTACTTTGAACAACAGCCTTAGATTGAGGAACTTTCTTTTTCCTTCTTTCCGTCTTCTTCGGTGATTTCTTTGCCCTAGTTTTAGGAGACACCTTTTTCTTTGGTGAATTCGGTTTTTTGACATCATCGTCGGTGCTAGAGCCAATAGCTCGACCTCGGTACTTTCCAGAACGACTAATTTCAGTCGCACTTTCTTCACTAGAAAGACCGCTGTACATGCTTTCGCTTCGACGTGAACCATTGACGTAATGTTTTTTATAAGGGTTTGTAACTTTTGATGATTTGATAAGCCCATTACGATTCTTCTTTTCGTCTCCAGATTCTGAAGGAGCAATACGTGCAAGTAGTTCATCAAAATCATTTTTGTGATCGGGTGCATCTGGATGAGAATATAACCTATCATATATGGAAGGACCATGGTTGGCCTCTATAATAGCAGCAAGGTCTGGGCCTGATATTGTTGAGTCTGCTGATAATACAGCAACCTGTTTGTGAAAAGTTTGTTCTCTCATCCTGAAGAAAGAACGTGAAAGCTTTTCCCTCCTGCTTACCATATAGCACAAATTCCGCACTCTTTCAAGGTCTTGTCTAAGTTGAACAAACATCTTCATCTTATCCAAATCAGCTTGTTCTTGTCTATGTGTTAGGAGTTCGCTATCGTCTGATTTAGGTGGCAGCAAAGGACGATTATTTCCTGCTCGCCTTTTCAGTTTCCAGTAATTGTATATGTACTGTATAGCATCCTGATCAACGTCAAGGAGATGAGTACTTATATCTTTGACATTGACGTGTCGATCAAATTCTCTTTCAATTTCTAATAAGCGAGCAGCACGCGCCTGTGTTTTCTCTTCAGAAGTCATATCTTTACGACGTTTTCTTTTTACCTCCTCTTCCTCAGAACCGGAGCCAGAACACTTTTCTTTTTTAGAATTGACACTATGTTTTTGACAATATGAACGTAATTTTACGCCATCATCAGCATTTTCGTCTTCAATTATTGCACGCATTTCTAGTCCATGTTTAAATGCACATGTTACGTGATAAGCAGTCTTACAAGTCTTTACGGAGCACTGTATACACGCTCCCTTACGTTCACGACACAAAACACACACTAAAGACCAGCGAGATGCTGGTATAGATGATATTTTAGTTATAGGTTCCATTTTTTCAGCACAACCTATAGACACTTCGGGAATCCAAAGCACACAACTAACATGGGCCCATTTATGGCCAGAGGGAGTGCATTTCATAGCACCACCAAGGTTGGGACATAGAACACAGGTAGGCCGAACACCATCGCCGCAAGGTCTACAGAGCCACTGACCTGTAAAAACAAAAAATAAATCAAGTAACTAATTACTTATCTATAGATTCTTTTTCCTTTAGATCGCTTGTAAAAAAACACGTACCATCTGGAATTACAGTAATACCGTAGCAAGCTTGGTGTACGCAAATATTGCAAGAATCACAGAAAACCATTTCGTTGCCATCTTCGGAATCTGGTGACCGGCAAACATCGCAAATGACGTTTTCGTCATATTCGATGCCTAGGCCTTCTTCTGATTTCATTATTGCTTGTATTTTGTCCCATGTTCGAATCTATAACAAAGAGAATATAGTTATTTATGCTATAAGTGCGGCAAGTTAGTTATTACAAACGAGTAGACGAATGTACCATTGTCACGAATTTGTAATACCAATCCGCATACAATGTTTTTCAACATATTTGCGAGAAAACATTATACCTAATTTAAGTAATGAAAAGTTTTTTTTTTTTTTTCAAATAAGAAAATGGCATGCATTTCCAATTGGCGCCACGTGCGGGTGGTGAAAAAATACATCTTTCGTCTCTTTTTCTTTTTCGTATTAAAGTGAGACATATGTATAGACTCAAAGCTTTTCCGATGAGGTCCGTTCGAAATAAAAATGAACCCGTAAAGAATACGTACGGAGCCATGTTTGTGAGCGTGCGTAATAAATTTTACCGCACAATCCGCTGTATGGCCCGTAATTTCGAATTTTCGAACAATGTATGCAACCTTAGTAAATGCATTTTTAACCAAATGTGTTGAAAATGTCATTTACTTTCAGTTAATTTTAAGATTTAGAGTAGGTATTTGATAAAAATTAATAAGACGTGAGATTTACTTTACAAACCACCATTTCGAACAGTTCCGGTAAGAGAAGTTTAATTGTGTTAAAAGTACCGTATTAAGTTCCTTATCATAGAATTTAGTTTGAAATAGAAAATATTATCAACCTGTGAAACTGTGAATGGCTGAAAAATATTTTTTTAAACATAGGTTGAGTAAGTATATCTAGCCGTTACCGCCAAATTATCGTAAGCGACACTTTTGTCGAAATGCCTTTTTTGTAGAAACTAATATTTTAAACCGTAACGGACTCATCTCTGTTGATATTTCCCTCCAAAAGAACACCGTTATAATATAATAGAGGGAAGAATAGAGGGAAATATCAACAGAGATGGGTCCGTTACGGTTTAAAATATTAGTTTCCACAAAAAACGCATTTCGACAAAAGTGTCGCTTACGATAATTTGGCGAGTCGCTTACGATAATTTGGCGGTAACGGCTCGAAATGTACTTGCTTGTGAGTTCACATTGCCAAAGTACCCACAGTTTCTTAGTCAAGCGCGACGTTATCCGGTGTACGTTTTTCTGTGTATACGTTGCGATATAGGTTTAATATGTTAGATTTTATTTATCGATTTTTTTATATTGACATATTTCGTAAAAGGAAAAAATAAATGCCCATAATATTATAAAGAGGTAAAGTTTGTGAGGTTGTAGGGGATAATCTCTGGATATACTGTCCGATTTCGAAAATTCTTTTACCAATAGACAAAGTTATTGATGAGTTCATAATATGTCTACATATTAGACTTGTATGTTTTTTACTATTGCTGTATTTATGTAAAATACTTGTATGATTTAGGCAACAATCACTATTTTATTGTACTGGGCGTGAAGTTAGATAGATTATAATATTTATTAGATTTTTTAAGCAGCGGCAAAAATTAACGATAATTTTAGCGCAATAAGTAGTTCAAGTCGCGTTGGTATTTGTGTTGGTGTGGGAGGGGCGTAAGGTTAATCAACACAATTTGTGCTTCACGCAGTTGAAAGACAGAGGAAACTTTCAGACGCTCTGCTCTGTGGGCTGTACTCTTAATATTATCATAGTCGTGTCGTCTCTTTTTCTGTAGCATCAAAAACTATATGAGTTGGAGTAAAATGGACAACGATGACGATCATGATATATCGAAGATTAACTTTAAGAGAACAGACGAAGCACCTTAAGCCGTAAGCACCATAAAGATAGATCAATACAATTACAAGTCAGACAGTTAAACGGCCTTTTCTTCACTACAGCAGACAGAGCGACTAGTCAAAAGTCTACGCAGGTAATTTTGAGAACACCGTCACAAAGACCACATAGAAGGAAGTAGAAATGGAGCATTGAGAATTAAGGTAAATGCAGCAAAAAAAACTAGTCAACAAAGGGCGTAAGGGGTTCCGTAAAATATCTTATGGGCTCTAAGCAAACCTCACCTCAAAGCGTGCACCCTGCTAATCACCCCTCATGAATAACTGTAAACTACTAAAATAGTTACTAAGCCATGGCCCCAAGTGCCCAGCTGTAACGGAAGCCGTGCCAGCGATGACAAACGTTTGGCAAGGCGCCGGGACCTTGGCCCTGAGGAACTGAGTAGGATAGGCTGAAGTGTAGTAGGATTATCCGAAGTCCGAAAGAGAGAGTGAGGACACAATGATCCTGAAGTCTAGCAAACTACACTATTTCGGGCAGGGCGAAGATAAGTCCCAAGGGGTGTCAGTTTTATTGTCCACAAGTCTCTCGTGACCATCGTTGTACAGATTTGTGGCGTACCTTATGCTAAGAATCATCAAAAGACATAGAACTGACACACACCCCGCCGAGGAAGTGGTAGCAATGTATGAAGATATCTCTCGGACAATACATGCTTCCAGGACTAACTACACCGTTATCATGGGAGATTTCAATTCAAGGCTAGACAAAAGTGGCGATGATGAGTCCATGTGCGGCAATTTGGAGCTGGAATCCGGAATTACCATGGTCAAATGCTACTCTATTTAATGAAGAGGAAGGGATTTTATTTGATGAACTCCTTCTTCAAGAAGCTTCTGCATCGAAAATGGACGTGGGAAAGTTCGGATAGCGTAACAACAAATGAGATTGATTGCATCATGTCGACTAACACTCGAATATTTAATGATGTCTCAATGATTAATGCGTTTTACACGGGAAGCGATCACCGAATGAAAAGAGGCACATTGAATCTTAATGTAAAATCAGAATGGTATCGACCGATGAAATCTACGCTCAGCCCTGAAGTTATTCAGATCTAAAAACCCGATTCCTTTTAACACAAAATGCAAAATCGCTTTGGAAGACTGCACGGATGTGGACGCGTACAATGACAGGTTCGTGAAAGCTGTTCGAACCTCGTCAAACCCAGCCATACCAAATGAGAGAAGAATAAATCTGAGTTGACGCATATGCTGATGGAGGAAAGACAATCATTGGTTCTGCAGTCTTCTGAAGATGCTCGTCGACGTCGGCAACTACATAAACAGATCTCCAAGTCTTTGACTCGCGACATTAGCAAATTTGAAACAGAACGTATTAGGGCAGACAGACACATAGCGCTCCGTTTTATAGGTCCGTTATTTGATGACGTAGGATAGTTGTATGAGTTCACACTCAATATAGTATTTCGGTCAAGTAAAAAAATTCCAACCCGACAAAATATACAGCAGTCCATTTTACTGGTCCGTATTCAGTTGTATGATCTAGTTCACACATATGACAGAGCTCTGGATCCAGTTACAAAAACACACACACAACGGGAATACTGATCCGTTTTATCGGATCGAAATCGCACGAGGCTTGGCACGGGGTCTAGCGGGGGTACGCAGCATGCGATGTGCTGCATACAGGCGCTAATGTGAATATTAATTCCAGTAGCGACGTATCCTTTAAAAAGAATCGTGTAAAACGGATGTTCTATTCGTACGGGCCCTTAGGGTGGTCATCGAGCAGAACAAAGGCTCCAAAGTGTTCTCCCGATCCCACTTGGACAGAGTTTGCTGACGAAGCTGAAGATAGAGGACGGTAGAATCATTGTATCCAGATCCGAAAATTTGAAGAGATTTGGATTTTTCTATGATATCACTCACACCTGTCACTCAGGCCAAGACCCAAATAAACCCGACACTACATTGAAGATATCCCGGACTTCGGCCTTCACGATATCAGTGTCTGTCTCTGTTTTTAGCTGTCAAACAGCTAAAAACAGAGATAGAACAGAGTTACAGCAGAACTTCTACAAGCAGGTGGACGAGTGGTCCTTAAAGCTCTTCAGATGCTACTCGCAACTCCGTTATAATCGAAGATAAAACGCAGAGGGCAAGGCACGGCGGCGTAGTAACACTCTTCTTCATAAAGAATAATATGGATATTTTTATACTTTAATTTTTTTTGGACCTAATTGACGAATTATAGTCCCATCACGTTCCTGAGTCATGTTTACAAGCTGATTACGACAGTTAAAACGAATCGACTCGTTCCCAGGTGTGTTTAACGACTTCCAGCCTCCCGAACAAGCCGGATTGTGAAAAGGTAGTATAGTACCATAGACAAACATATGCTGTGGCAGGTTATTCAGAAGACCGACGAAGAGATTAGCCTGCCACTATTGCTAAGCGTTTGTGTGCTAACGCTTCACCCTACTTGACTTTAGACCTATATCCCTTCTACCCACTTTTAGGAAGATTTTTGAAAAAATAAGATCGAGTGCAATGCTATTTCTATAAAAAAAAAAGTTACTTGTGACTAAACAATTTGGCTTTATAAGAGGTCGCTCTACAACCGATGCTGGTGTTGAGATTTTACAACATATGTTTGATACTGGATACCTGGGAGAAGTCACGTGACGCTTTAGGTGTCTTCTGTGGTTTGTCCAAGGTTTTTTATTGCATTTTTCTTGGGAAACATCAATCAGGAAACTACACCAATATGATTTAAGGGTAGCACTCTGGACCTCATTGTGTCATATTTGAGCGTTAGGACCCAGAGTTGACATCAATGGCAAAATATCTCCCGGTTCGTTAGTAAAGTTTTCCCCAGAACTCGATTCTAGGTCTATTCTTGTCTGTAACTAATAATAATGACTTATCTTACTTTGTAAAGATAATCACGACATAGTATTGTATCCAGATGATATTTTACTTTGTTTTAATTAGACAAATGCCACCACTTATTGACGATGTGAACAATGCCATCTCCAAAGTAGTCCACTGGTTTAATGCAAAAATTACTTCTTATTGAAGGTAAAACTAAATATATAAAAAAAAATGTATCCAATGTAAAGCCAGTGTGTAGGTCCAATGTTTCCATTTACAGTTATAGTTGTCGCTTGTAACCATTCCTCTCAAAATTTGATATGGAGGTCATGGATGCCTAATATTGTCTAATGATAACAACAGATTCTCCATGTGTTGTGTTATCATGATGATTTTTGTAATTTTATACGCAATAGTACCACCATGAAGTTGGTTAAAAAGGTAGTGTTATTTTACTGTGGTCTTCTGAAAGATGGGGGTTACTTTCTCAAATGGGCGCTCCAATTAGACAAATTGGGCAAAGTATGAAACATTAATTTTTCTTTTGATATTTGAAAATAAATTAATTAGACAGGCTAACTTTTTATACCTATTTTTATTTTTTAAGCATTTAACTGCTAGATGTTTCTAAGTTTTATCGCACAAACATGGGAATTGGATTTTATTTGGAATTTGTCAAAAGGTCTTATTTTAACCAGTCATATCTTGATCATTAACAAATATCTATACGAAATGGAGGAGCTCGATGCCGTACTTGGTTAGCGCGTTCAGCTGCGATCGTTGAAATTCAGCAACTTTCGCAGTGATCGGTCAATGAATAGGTAACTAAAAATCTTATATCTAGAGTTCCTCCGTGCTTTGGAAGGCACGTTAAGCTGTTGGTGTCGGCTGCATCTGCATTCGTTAGCACCCGCCTATCCATACTGGGCCCGCGTGGCGGGTCATGGCCCAATCTCCCTATTCCATCCATAGGGAAGGCCTGTGCCTCAGCAGAGGGGACATTCATAGGCAGATGATAATTTAGCTGTAATGTCCAATTGAATTCCTTGATTCCATTCTTTGTGTGATTTTCCTACTATCGAGTATTCAATTTACCACTTAATTAGTTTTATACCCCAAATGATTCCTAAAGATGAAATAGGGACAATGCATGAAAATAGTGTACTAACCTCTAACTCCTCGATGACCTTCTCAAGCTGGTCTTCGTTGATGGGTAGAGCACCGGCCCGCGCTCGCTCTGCGTTGAGCAGCTTTAGCCATTGGGTATCAGTCGCGTCCAGATCGTAGGCACATGCCGCCTCTGCCCGCGCTGGTGTTGAGCTCAAATGGTGCTTATCGGCTTGGAAGTGCGCGTCCCGAGTCAACCGGATGTACTTATCTTTAGGTCTGCAAAAAATACATTCTATTAATATCAAAGAAAACGAAAATATAAACAGTTATATGGCCAAGTGTAATTTTTACCTTGACTTTAGAACATAAAAGGCTCATATTTTTTTTTTATTTCAACAATAAACTGTTAGAATTATAAACCTAAAGAAAATTTTACACGAAAATTTATTTCAGTTAAATTCATAGGCAGAATGATCTAAAAGGCGTCACAAAAAAACAAGTGCCTTTGGAAGTATTTCTGCCGTTCCATAGAACTTTGTACATATAGGATAAGCATATTATCAGTTTTCTTAGTCGTCAATTCAGTAATTCACCATTTACACATTAAACAACATATAACATATAAACTGTTGAATTTGTGAAATTGACGAGTAAGCAAAACTAACCAGCGATACACTAAATCAGATATACTTAGTCATTATCAAAGAAAAGACGCATCAAAACAAATACTAGACATAAAATAGAAACCTCAACACTACCAGAAGAACTTTTGACTCCTTTAAAAGAAAATCTAGCCTCCGAAATGAACCGTCAAAAAGACATACAAAAAAATATATAATCTATTACTGAAGAGCTGAAAGAAATAACAAAAAAAACGGACACGTGCTGTTCACATGCAATAGAAGTGAAACCTACAAAAATGTGAACGCGTAAGTCTTCCATGATTAGGTAGGTCTTAGAGACAACACCTATGTTAAAATTGAAGTCTCTAAGTCAAAATTAAATATTTTATACTTAAATTGTTTCGAAAACTAAATAATATCTTAATAAAAGATAAAAATGAAAATGTGCGTTATGTTATGTTATGATGTCTTTACACTACTAAACACAAACATTACAAAGGATTATCAGTACCCTTAGTACGAGTTTCACAATTACGAAAACTAAGATAGTTTTCATATGCATGCACTCGTACTAAGGGTACTGATTTTATTGTTTTCGTTTCAATACAAATAAACAGTGTTTAAATTCTATCATTAAATCATTTGCGTCTTCTTAAAGTTAAGTATATTTGGTTAGTTTTCACCAAAATGGACATAGAAACATAATTTGCAATTACGAAAACTATGATAGTTTTCGTGAGCTCAAACTTTTACTAAGAGTACAGAGAAATATATAAAAACCTGACAGCCAAGATACAGAAATTCAGATTTCAGAAGAATTTCAGATAGAAAAGAGAGTCACACAGGGAGACCCATTATCACCCTAGCTGTTCATAGCTGCACTGGAGTATATTTAGAAAGTTGAGCTGGGACGCTTACGGATTAAACGTAAATGGCGAAAAGTTGCATTTTTTGAGATTCGCAGATCTAATCATTTCAATTTGAAGAATCACCAGAAAATCTACAAATAATGTTACAACAGCTAGCAGACGTCAAATGGAGTACAGAGTATGATTAAGGTAAATAACAGTATTGTAGAAACCATAAACCAATACACATACTTAGGTCAAATAATTTCACCAGGCGACCAAACGCAGAAGAAAAGAGTAATAAGAATAATAAATTTCTGGAAAATATATTGGTATAAATATATGCCTGACATATGGCTGCCAGCCATGGGCTTTATTAACAGATCAGCAAAGAGAAGTTCTACAATAATGTCAAAACAGGATGGAGAGGAGCATGTTAAGTGCCAAATTGAAATACAGAATAAAAGTAACTAATATAAGGGCTAGAACTGGTGTGACAGATGTGACATACACAGTGAAGAGATTGAAATGGAAATGGGCAGGACATATTATATGATGTAGGAAAAATAAATGGGCCAAAGAAGTTATGGTGTGGTATCCTCAGGATGAAAAAGGAAGTGAGGAAGACAAAGAAAGAGATGGGAAGATGAATAAAAAGTGGCTGCAGGAGAGGCATGCAGCAAGGAAGGCCATGGATAGACAGCATTTGGAAACTCTGGGGGAGGCTTTTGTCAAAGGGCAATCAGATTAATAACTTAATTTAAGTAAATTTACTATATGTAATAAGTCAGTCTGAATAAAAGCTATTTTATTTTGTCATCTATACTTATAATAAATCTGTAGAGATGTCAATTCTGTACATGAAATATATTTTTAAAATAACTATCAGGGGGATCACCCCCTGATAGTGATTATAGATTATGGGGATTAGTGATCGATACTGATGCCAAAAATGCAATCAGTAAAATTTTTGTCTGTCTGTCTGTGTGTGTGTATGTTCCTTATAGAAACAAAAACTACTCAACGGATTTTAACGAAACTTGGTACAATTATTCTTCATACTCCTGGGCAGGTTATAGTATACTTTTCATCACGCTACAATCAATAGCAGCAGAGTAGTGAAGGGAAATGTTGGGAAAACGGGAGAAGTTACTCCATTTTTTAAGCTTCCGTCGCGGGTGTAGCCTTAATGGTTAAAGTTACATAGAAATCATATATGACGGAAATATTCTACATAAAATTGTCTAAAAAATATCCCGGAACAGTATATGTCTATCTTTTATGGTTGACTCACAATAACACGTGTAATTATATAAATAAAGTCATTCTTTATAGCACAAGCCTGAGAACAAAAACTATAGTTTACACTACAGCTCTACACCGAAGCGAAGCGAGGGCGGGCCACTAGTTATTAATATAATAATAAAATAGAAGTAAAACTTTATTTCATTAAAGCTGAAAAAGACCATACATAGTTTACAATATTTAGTTATGTTTACTTTTCTAATATAAATGGAGATAATAAACCATTTCACCTGCAATTACAGCTCACAATGATAATAATGAAGAATGGCTTACCATTGAATATACAAAAAACGAAAATTATGAATTTGGAGCGAGACAACCTAAATAATTATTAGGATTACAGTGTAGTTTGATGATTTATGCAGTGCTGGATCAGGTGAATGAGATTATGTATAATTATATATATAATGGCTATATGCTTTCAGCAAGTATACAAGCTGCTTTTCTAATTTTACTTTTTGAGCTCTTTGACACCATCTGCTTTCGAACAATTGTAATATGCATTTGCTGCTTTTCAGTTCTCTCCAAGTCTTTGTATATGTGACAATTAATGATACATTAAAAATCATAGACTCCTTACAAGAAAAAATTAAAGAAATCGATATATTGGTTGTTGCCTGTTGCTTCTCAGTACATTTATGAAAATTTAATGTATTTTAGAAAAAATATTACATTATTTCCTCAAATAAAAATAAATTAGCTGTACCAATTACAAGGCTCCACAAAATAAATATTTCATTTAAAGGTATTTGTGTACGCTTCTACAATAAAGTCCCAAGCAATATCAAAAAATTAAGCATCAATAAATTTAAAACCACCATTAAAAAAGTTCTTACTAATAAAGCCTAGTATAAAGTGTCTCATTATTTTTCAGACAAAAACTCTTGGGTTTAAACTGTTCCAAACGCTCCGACAGGCTTTTTCTATAATGAAGGTGAAATGATTTTGTATTGACACATATTAATATAATTATTCGGTAAATATTGTTACATAATTATTTAACGCTGTGAAGTATTTTTCGCCAGTTTTTCTCCACAGCTAAAAAAAATGTCCTTCTGGTGGTACGGAAAAAATATGGACCATTCAAAACAGTTATATTTTGCATCCAATTTGAATAAAGATATTTTGACTTTTGACATAAGAGCTGCGCCTAGCAAGTTCTCACGAAATCATCGCCAAAGGAGATTGGGCATCTTAGTATGGAGCTTGGGAACGAACTAAAGATTTTTAAATCTAAAGAAAAGTTTACTAGAAAAAAATCCACGCGGACCAGGCAGCGGACGGGACTCGAACCCGCATCCTTCGCTATCCGGGCGAATGCACTGACCATTATGGTACCACGGCCCTATTAGCCGCGTCGAAATTTTCCTAGCCTTAAGCTGCAAGGCAGCGCCATCTCTTCGCATTGTAGGTAACCCACAGCAGTTAAATGCTTAAAAAATAAATAAAATCATAACTATAATTGCTATTTCTTCTTTCAAATGTTTAATACTTGAAAAAGTATTCATTTGACATTTTGTACTCTCTGAGCAAAGTTATTGGACTTTAAAGAAATATATCTACATAACCTCTTTTTACTATGCAACTACTCTAATCTTTATATTACCTACATACAAACACATAATCACGCTCACAATTATAAAAAGGGTTGAACAGTGCTGCAGGTAACATTTGTTTACACATTTTATTATTTAGCATTACATCATTAGCATCAATTTACATAGCAATAGCGAGAAATCGACTGACTGACAGATCTGAGTTCTGACAGTGATCACAGTGACACTGACAGACACTGTTCACATTGACAGAAAAACGGTGATTTTTCCGAAACGTATTGCTGGAACCCCGAGTAGGTCTACATTCTTTTATTTAAGGATTTTTTATTTTAATCGACTTTTGTAAATAAATCATAGTCACACGAATAATATGTTCTATTATTCTTTGTATATGTATTTTCGTATCTTGGACTAGTTCTAACAATGTTAATAACATTAATAGGTTAACATTGGAAACCTAAGTTAACGTTTCGGAATGCGGGATCCGGATATCGCTTGGGGTGGCGAGACGACCGACGTCCCGTATAGCAACCGGCCACCAAGCACCGGGCGGGCTTATCGCATATGAAATCATTCTACATTTTAAAAATATTGCATATTTTTCTGAAAGTATGAAAATTGCTGAAATTTTGTATTCAGTTATTAATAATTAGATAACGATTTTTGGCAGTATTTTCATTAATGTACAATTGAGAGATAAAAATCCCTAAAATGCCCAATCTCCTTTATATAGAACAATCTCAAAAAGAAAATAGCAGACCTAAATCAAAAATCCATGAATACTGACAGCGCAAAAAGTATAGAATAAGAAAGAAATACTCACAATTTGAATTCTTGAAAATCAGGCGGGCGTGGGTTTTCTATTATCGTGACTTTGGGAGCGGGCAGTGAGTCCGGATTAACGGGCACCTGGACCCCGCGTTCCCAGTCCTGTTTCCACGTGTCCGTTATTATCCAGTACTCGGTAGGCGTCAAAGGCTCTGAGTCTGGTAGCTTCATAGCGCTGATGAGATCTTTCCTGGAATTATTGAGTACCCAGGATTAATTACTTACTCTTTTCTCAAACAATCCTTCTTAATGATTATATATTTATTTTTAATATAGAACAACAAACTAACAACCTCTCTTTTGTTAGGTATACTCTTACATTGAATAGTACAGACATTTCACAATTAAGATTTTATACTGGAACTTAGGCTGATATTTAATATTTTACATTAATCTTTAAAGGCTTTGAATACATACAAGGCTTCAAGAATCAAATAGCTATTTCGTTTTTATAGAAGTTCCAAATATTATTTTACTAAAATATTGCAGTTTAATAACATTTATTTAATTACATCAATAATAGTTCTCACAATTAGAATAAACAAGACAAATGATGATATATAATGGAAATATTTAATAACACCTCTTTTTGATGGTTTACCTCATGGTTTTTTAGCTATCTGGTGTTATTTTAATGTGAACTTACAATAAATCCAACTTAAGAGAAATTGAAATTCCTGTAATAATAGTTATATGCTTTTGCTAATATAAATATTTCGCTTATTAATATTGCCCTGATTTGCTTTTATATAACAAAAAAAAATACAAATAGATTAAAAGCTCTGCAACACATTTTTTGGACTTTACAGCTTACTTTTAAAACATAAGAGCAAAAATACAGTTGACTTATAAAAAAAATACATTAGCTCTATAATAATATAAACCTTTCGCAAGAGCTATAGCTATGCAAACCTGGTTAAGCAATTGCACAAAATATATTGTACTACAATGTTTCACATCTTTAGATTCACTTGTAAACCCATAGAATGCTTACTATTATTTTAATATACTAAAATTATTGGGACCGATATGCTGACAGACCATATTACATATTTTTTTAAAGAATGTAAAAGCTTTATACTCTCTATGAATAAATATGGGGACACCAAAAGAATGGTAAATACATTTATTATCTCTTCATGGCTACACTTAAACACTGCAATTTTTTAACATTAATTTGGTGTAAGGAGTCATCAAAAAACGATATCCCTATGGATATAACGATAATGGCTTCATTAATTTTCAATATTGTGCTGTTTTTGATAACCTATTCATGGTATATTTAGCAATTATCGCATAGCATTATTCTCATTTTACTCATAGACCAGCTTGAAAAATAAATAGAATGAAGACAGCTCTGTCATATAAACAACAACTCATCTATAGTTTAACCTCTCCATTAAACTTGGGGTATGTGGTCTTTCTGTTACCCAGTGAAAAAACCCATCCAATTAGATATAGCAACACCAAAGATATAAAAATACAAACATATAACAAATAAATAAATAATATCGCAAAATTGCATCATAAAATAACATTGTTGATCTTATCCACAAACATAATTATTGCACTATGTAGATTATCATTTCTGGGGAAAGATGAAACTGGCAATAGCATAAAGTGCATATATAGAATGTTTGTGAATTAACATTTATTGAATAAATCTGTAATGTAAATAAAAAATTGTTTAATATTGTAAACAATATATCAAGTATATACTTTACTAAAAAAAATATAGTAGATAAAAGAGATGAGCAGGACTGTTAGCTTAAATATAAAAGATGTCACAACTTGTCTCGTTATCTTCTAAAGTATAAGTCTTGAATTACCCTTAATTATTCTATAGCACTATAGCACACACTAATACTAGAAAATATTAAAGACAGAACAAAATTGTATTGTTCCTGCTAGATTTTAAATGGTATCAATCTTTCAGCGCTCAGAACTTCCAAGATGTATAATTAGTTATTATACATTGTGAAGTTGTGAATGCTTAATAATAATAAATAACATTTTCAAAAAATGTTCTTGCTCAATCATAGTTCAAATAATTATTGAATAAGCATCAAATTCACAGATAATTTTCTATCAAAAATGAAAATATTATTTTATTAATAATTGCAGAGCAAATACACTCTTAGTTGTCAAAATGCCAGTATTACATTTTACCAGCCAATAATTACCACACTTTTCTTACACATTTAAAACCTTTTACACAGGCACTTTCAAAAACATGAATCAACTTTAGCTTTTTTTATCTCTATTGACAAAATATCTCAAAATAGTGTTAGCCTATAGAATATTTATTCGCAAAGCATTAATATACTGAGGTTTAATGATTGTCTACTAGTAATGCTTAACAGTATAATACCAATATATCCAAAGTATTTCATACTATGTGCTAAAACAAATCAATACAGCTATAGCTGGTGAACAATAGTTTTGCTGAGGCTACATTGCACTATACACATTTAACTTGAAAATTCCTAAATTAAAATATTACTTTAAAAACATGATAAGATACACCACTTAGTCAAATTGCACACAAACCTGAATAGTTCAGCTGGTGCCTCTGAGGCACTTCTATTATATATTGATGACATTTTGACGTCTGGTCTTAGCTGCCAGGGAGTGTCCTCAGGCTCCGTTCTGCGGCGCTTAGATGTGCCTGGTTCTTCACCACGCACACCAGTAGCCCGCTTGGTGCCTCTCATAGACATCGCTCTTAGTTTATTCACAACCTACATGTTCACGATCCGTCAACTGCTTTACACTTGGAACGTGGAAGCAACATTGTGTAGAAAGTCACATTGTTCACTACATGATGGCACTTTAATATGGTACAATGCAAATGGTACAACCTGAAAAAAAAGATAATATCTAGCTGTTACTTGAACATGTTCTCAGTATGTAAACTACTATGACAACAATTTTGACATATCAGAAAACATTTTAGTAAACACATTCACACAGCAATAGTTAAATAGAATTATAACACATATTTTACTTGAAAACTTAGGTAAATAAACTAATATAATGCATTAATTTGAGATAATTCACCAATAATTTACCGAAAAAGCAAATTGACGTATGGCACGAAAATGTCAATTCTAAATTGAACAATGCTGCATTTGCAAGTAATAACTAAATGAGATCTGATTTCATTTCCAATTTGGTGAATATTTTGATAAACAAAGACTATTCTTCGCAATCTAAAAGATATTGTCAGAAATTCTCATTTGACGTTTCACTTTATTGCAATAGTAAAATGTATGGCGGGCCTGCGAGCCCCGAGAACTGAGTAAATATAACGACAACCCGATGGCTTATTTCTGATTGCAAATATTCTTCAGATACTGGTAAATTACAAAATACACTTACTTAACTCTACGATTTTGTTATTTAGATCCATTCTTGAATAATTATCCGTAAATATTTATCTCACGGATAGTCTCCATTAGACTACATAACAAAATTGACAACATAGATAGCAGCACTGTTTTGTTGCCAGACTGACATGAGACCTACGCATCATTTTCGTTCTTTTCTAACAGGGAATGTAAACTTTTATGCTTTTGCTAACACAAATTTAGATTATGCTCATAAATTTTAACAGATACTTCACATTTCACGTACATTTTCTGTAACAGACATTTGGCGCCATTGATCCAAAAAACCACCTTGGTCACGTGACTATGTACGAATCACCAACGCAAGCCAAGTAAAATGGCCAAAACGCACATCGAGTTCATCTAATGTCATAGGCTTCGAAAGGAACCTGCCGCATAACATATACATTGAGATGAAACTTCTATGTTAAAAATGCCGAGAATAAACAAAACACAAGCACATATTCAAAAAACAGCAGCTTTGTTAGCAAGTAACACAATTTATCAAGAATTTGTTACAACATGAACATAGAGCGAAAGATATCAATAAGCAGTTTCCAAAATCGGCCACCAGTAGGCGTTGTTCAGAAAAAAGTTAGTAGTATTGCAAGCCCAAAAATCTAATGATGAAATTAATTTACTTTAGTCGTATTATCTTCAAAGGGTATATTTTATTTAATTGAGAAGTAATAAAATTAAAAATCTTTTGTTATCAAAAAATATTCAATACACTTTATTAATCTTTCAATATATTCTTATGAATCAATTTTAGATTGCAATGTTACCATATGCGAAATTACGTAATTTAAAGATATAACTACAATTTAATTTTTTTGCAATGAATCCATTAACAAAATAAAGTTTTGATTAAATAAAGTATTTTTTTTTAATGAAAGAAATATTATTAAACTTAAAAAAATCATCGGGAACGCTGCCTTAACACGTCGTACATTCCTTTCCTTTCACCTTGCGGTACTAACCGAAATCATTGACTCATTGTATTGTATTGTATTGCTCTTTATTTCATTCTTGATTAGAACAACAGCCATTCAGATTTGGATATATGTATACTTATGGCTAATCGTAATATTAAAATGAATGCGGTGGATTCTTTACTTGAAATTTGAACTACTTTACTCGATGAATATTGCTTCTATCTAATCTCGATAGGCTACTTCTCGCGCTACAAATTTTATAGAATAGAATTTGACCTCATTAATTACCGACACTCAAAACATTAAAAATAGAGTGCCATGCTAAGATAGTGAAAAATTATAACCTTAAAACTGATACTATTTATAGGTCTAATCTAATTATTAGGTATTGAAATCAATGCCCTACTTCTGATCTCTGAGATAATTTCATATCTAAGTTAATTTCATCAACTTAGATATGAAATTAACTCCAACACTTTCCATTTATAAAAGAAGAATTTTATAAATATTCCAATCCTAACTATAGTTACCTACTCAGTTTGGTGGCTACGTCCACTTGGATCCATGGTCACATACCAGTGACCTAATTACCCAGATACACCAAAACACCTACAATTACAAAGGTACCTACATCGATGGTTTAGGGGCTAATGAAGAGCTTTATAGTGGCAATGCTCTTAAGTTTAATAATAATGTAATATCAAAGTTCCATTTAGAAAAACTACAGCCAGGAGTAAGAAGTTCATACTTTTAACTTACGTAACCACTTTACCAAGTACATAGAAAGTGTTAGGTACTTGGTTATTGTACAGCAGCATTGTATTGGTATTGATTATTATAATAGGTAAAATATCTTGAAAAAGAATAACCATAGGTATTATCTTTTATTTGTATTTAAGAAATAAAAGTGGTTCTAGTATTCATCCTTTGTTGACACTTACCTAAGTTGAGAGATCGTTCTGATTGGAGCGCCTTTCTGCAAAACTCCATCATAAAATAATAAATGGAGGCCAAAGAAAATTAACCATAAATTTGAGTGGGGTTGTTTTTGTTGGTGAGTAAAGTTCCAGTGCTAGACTAAGAAAATATTTATTCGTCATGTTCTAGTAGGGATATGTTTATCTAAATCGGGATTTGTAAAAACCTTTTGAATAACAACCGATTCGTAACAATGTATTAACAATATTATTTTTCTTAAGAAGAAAACAAAAAGCTGTGCTTTCACCTTTCCTTCGCCCACACGGGCTTCACAAGGCAGATTCGACGATTGTCTATCTATGGGTTCGACAGCGTAGGTATGGGAGAGGATAGTTATTATTAATCATTAGGTTGGATGGCTGGCTGGCTGGATTGGCCTATTTTGCTACCACATCATCTGCGAAGCGAGTGGACTCCGCTTATCATAACATCAGTGGGGTTGGTTCGGGTAATTTGAAGCACTTTGTATTAAAAAATATCCTCGTTACTCAAAATATATCATTTTAGTAAAAAATATTGCTCTTATAAATATTATAATTAAAAGGTCTTTAACTATAAAATTGCCGTGCTGCCGCCGGCGCCGTACTGGCTATTTCAGGCTTAGATTAAAACAAAAAGGGTAGTAGATACGGCACTAGCCTCACAAAAGTGATCCGCATGAATTGTGGTCCACGACCCTAATCGCTTTAGTCACAACTTGACATGCAAACGACGTACACGTGAACGCCAAAAAGAAATATTGCTAATATTTTATGTTTATACTAGCTGACCCAGCGAACTTCGTACCGCCCTAAAAAAATAGGGGTTGTCCAGCGGACAAAATTGTGAATCTAAACCATTCTCAGATCCCCTTGAACACACACAAAAAATTTCATCAAAATCGGTCCAGTCGCTTAAGAGAAGTTCAGTGACATACACACTCACAGAAGAATTATATATATAAAGATGATAAAACAATGCCTAAGTATGTTTTTAAAGTGCTCAAATTGCTCAAGAACTAAAAATAACAATAACACCCACAGCATCACTTTTCCTTCGTAAGTACTATATATTATATTTTTTCATAAAAATTGCTGTTTGTTTTGAATCTTATGGTCAGTACACACGTAACGATATATCGTAGCGATTTCAAACTGTGCAGATAAATCGAACGTTCCTAGTGACTCCACACGCCTTCGATATCGGCGTCGATTGTTTGTTCTCCGCAGAAGCTCACGCAAGAAACATGTCATCCACGATGGAAGATTATGACGCACTTGAAATTTTATTGAGTTATTTATTACAGGTACTTCTAAGATTATTGATTGGCATTTGGTTCGATGGCTTTGTATTTTTCGACAAGCCTGTTATAGGCATTTTTTTTGTTGCGATCATGATAATCCTTCTCTTTCTTCTTCCGACATGTTGCCATTTAAGAGCCAGCCGCATGTGCGCACACTTGCGAGCTCCGTGAAGTACCTACTGCCGAACTGAGCGATCGCCATCCACACGCGACGATAAAACTGTGCAAACGCAATCGATAACGATTTATCTAATATAAATTGCAACTGCCACCGACGAACGATAATCGACAACGATTTGTCATACACACGTTCGATAAATCTGCCCAAATCGATCTGCACAGTTTTATCGTTACGATAAATCGTTACATGTGTAGCAGGCATTATTCGGTAGTGACGTCGAGTACTGGTCGCGTGATTGGTCGGTAATGCAGTGACGCGGATCTCGCTGTCCCGTTCGCGCTGCCGTGGGATCAGTTTTTGTTTGATGCAAGTATGAGCGTACCGTATCTACCCTTTTTGTTTTAATCTAAGATTTCAGGTGCCTTTTTAGGGTTCTGTAGCCAAATAGCAAAAAACGGAATCCTTATTGATTCGTCATGTCTATCAGTCTGTCTGTCCGTCCGTATGTCACAGCCACTTTTCCCGAAACTATAGGAACTATACTGTTGGAACTTGGTAAGTATAGGTGTATTCTGTGAACCGCATTAAGATTTACACACAATACAAAATAGAAAAAAAAACAATAAATTTTGGGGTCCCCCAAAGAACTGAAACTCAAAAATACTTAGACTTACATACTTAGAACTGAAACTTAAAAAAAATTTTTTTCATTAAACCCATATGTGAGGAGTACCTATCTATGGATAGGTCTTAAAAAATTATATTGAGGTTTCTAATATAATTATTTTCAAAACTGAAGAGTTTGCGCGAGAGACATTTCCAAAGTAGTAAAATGAGTGTCGTCGTCCCCGTAACTTCTAAAATAAAAGAATCATTAAACCAAAAAAAATGTACATAGTTTTTTTTAATAACCACTTACTAGATCTGGCTCAACATCAACTCAAAATAAAAAACGTAAAGAAAAACATTTAATTTCATAAACATAAACCTTATGCATAAACAGTGAACGATTATT